AAGCATATATTTCGATCCATAAGTCAATAGGGCAGTATGACATTTGAAAGCATAAGAAAGGTCAAGAATCCCGCCACCCGTCCTCGGTTAAGGGCCACATGTATGCGTCTCGAATAAATGATAACGGTGAATTCACAAACTCGACGAAGACAAGTATGCTTGAAAGATCTAAAATGAGGCCTGAAGTAGCCAATAATATTTCTCTGGGACCAAATTTGGAAAACAACAAAAGTTTTGGGACCAAATTTACAATTTTCTCTAAATTGAAAAAAAACGACTAACGTCTACACTAATAAGACCGTTAAGTCTTGACGGAGCGGGACCGATTTGACAACGAAAAATTAAAAAGGACCATAAATGTGGTGTCTGGGATCAAATGTGGGAAACATAAAAAGTTTTGGGATCAAATTTGCAATTTTCTCAGTATATTTTTAATGAAAAGCTTTTTGAACATATACTTAGATGGATATGGTGTTTGGCTGCCTAATATAAGGCGGTCATATATTTAAATAAAAATCATATTTACAATATACACAATATTATATTTTTGCTTATATTATAGTTTAATGTATGTTAGTTAATTGTGAATATTTGTACACTAGTACAACGCCCATGTATAAAACGGATGTTTGCTAATTTTTTTTCTTAAAATCTAAAATTAATGAGAAAAAGTAATTGAAAATTTAAATACCTTTTATAAAAATATCTATATTATTATATATTTAGTATGACACTTTTTTATTTGCGCGACTTACTTGTGTTATATTATAATAATTTTTTAACTTACAACATATAACTACATTAAGCATAAATATATCAATTGACAAATAATTTTATTTTTCTAATGAATTTTAATAAATATTATTATTTTTTATTATTATAACGATAAATATAATTTATTTATTTCATATATGCAATATGGATGTCAAATCGAAGATCGTCAAAAGATGATCAATTTGATACTCCCTCCTATTTTTTTATATGTCATTCTAGTTTTATTAACTATTTGTCAAATAAATGTCGTTTTAGATATTTTCTACATATTTTTCCATTATTACCCTCATTTACCTAATAAATGCATTATTGTCTTGTCATATTCACTCTTCACTTTTTTTTCTCAAAATATTCATCTTTATCTTCATTAAATAAAGTTATTATTGACAAAAAAATATTCTTAATGAACGTGCAACTTCTCCAAACGACATGTATTAAAAATAGGAGGTAGTATATTATACGGGTAAAACCGATAAGAAATACAAAATTTATCAAATTTTAAAATACATTTACAATTAAATAACTAATTGAAGGAAATAAATCAAAAGTCAGGGATATATTAGTCACTTAATGTCTCACTATGTAAAATTATAAAAAATTAAAGGGTTATATTAGTACAAGTGATATTAAAATACCTAAGTTAGCTATTTAATATTTATGGAATGTCTGAACCAAGATTATTAATTATTAATATATCAATATTATATGTCCTAACCTAATTACGAAGCATGATTCTTTGTCAAGTAAGATTACGAAGCACCAGAAACAGTCATGCAGGCTCAGCGCATTCGAGAATAATATATAGGGAGGATGTGTTGAAAAAATATGGTTGTCTTAGCGTTAGACAATCTAACAAAAAACCTACTACTGCAAAACGATATCTTATAGCATATCGTAACTTGTATACAATTTAACATACTTCTAGCCCGGGTAAGTTTGAAATTCTGGCTCCGCCCATGTGATAATAAATGGGTTTCAAAGTACAAATTGCCAGGGAAAAAACTTTTTATTGATGGATTAAATTTTTTTTCCCAAAAAATACTTTTCTAAAAGTCTCCAAATACGGTGCCTGACACTCTATTTTCCTTCCAGGCATTTAGCAACGGGAATTGCAAGAGTCTCCTTGGTTTTGGAGGTTTCAGGCTTTTCTCTTGCACTTTTCAACTTCTTAGCTACATTAATGGTTAATTAAATTCTTTATTGTTCTGAAGTGTATTTCTCAGCCTTTTCATATTCTGCCTCATCATCTTCTTCACATTAGACTTAGAATTTAAAGTGCCCATCAGACAGACATTTTCTGGTACCCTGTGAATGCTACTGCCTTGGTTGGTTTTGTAGTTGTGAAAATCAGGTACCCTTTGTCAGAACTTACATGGATGAAACCAGACAACCAAGTGGAAATTCCCAAAACCATTCAGATAGAGAGGAAAACATGGCCTCGATCGATAGGCTGAGCAGCTTGCCGGACGACGTCATATGCCACATTCTCTCTTTCCTCCCGACTAAGCTCTCAGTGGCGACCAGCGTTCTCCGAAAAAGTTGGAGATTTCTATGGGCCCATGTACCCTGTCTGAACTTCAGCGGATACGATTTCAGGAAAGCAGATTTCTCGGAAGAAGAAGAAACACAAGCCTCGAACATCATCCACAGGGTTATATTGCAGCACAAGGCAAAAAGAATATCCACTTTAACACTCGATTGCATCAACTGCAACGAATATAAACTGGAGACATTGGTTACAACTGCCATCGACCGTTGTATCCAGAATCTTTATCTTAAACTTAACTTCGATACGTTCCCTCGATCACTCTTCAACTGCAAAACCATTGTCGACTTGGAGCTTGATAACAATAGAGCCCCACTCTCTGCTGTGGGCAATGTCTCTCTGCCTAGCCTCAAGAAGTTTTATGTTTATAATGTTGTGTGTGAGAATGATGATACGCTTCCTCGCTTTCTTTCCGGTTGTCCGTCGCTCGAGGAGTTGAATATGGTATTCGGGTTTGTGGTGGAAGATGATTATGTGGGCTGCATAAATATATCATCACTCACGATAAAGAAGCTTAAGCTTCATCTTAAAGATGTGTTTTGTCCATGTAACCTTGAGTATAGGATGATAATAAACGCCCCGGCAATTAAGTATCTCCAAGTGAATGGCTATGACTTGGAACGTATGACAATTCCTATAACCATGATCTCCTTAGTTGAGGCTAATATCCACTTAAAAAATGATTCGTGCATAAATTTCAAAACGAATTACTATTCCACAGATGTGAAGTTTCTTCATTCTCTGTGTTATGTAAAGTGCCTAAAGATATCTGGTTGGGATCTTGATGAGGTATTATATGATTCTTTGTCTTTTATAACATCCCGTCGATTAGTTTTCATTCAGCTTTTGTTCCTACATATGCATTATGCGGTTTTAAATCTAATTTTCTTTTTCAGTTTATCCAAAGAGGGGTTGCTGGTTTAAGTCTAAAGTTTCGGAATTTAACCAAACTTGAACTCGGATTATACGTTGAAAGGACTTTGTTGGTAAAGTTCCTTGAAGCTGCTGAAAATCTTGAAGTTCTTATTGTAAGTGGAGTTTTGATGCAATTAATTCGTCTTTACCTGTTTTTCGTTTTATCTTACAGCAAGAGCTCATTCTGTTTTACTCGTTTTGTTATGCTCTGTTTATTGTCATCAGGTTTATTTGAGGATGGAATCTTTGTGGACCGAGCCCAAACAAGTACCTATATGCATGTTATCACGTCTAAAAACTATAATAGTTAAGTGGATAAAATTTAGTGAGCCTGATCTTGACATGATAAGATATCTTTTGAGGAATTCTCGAGTATTGGAGAGGATGGAAATATTTGACCTAACTTTTATGTGCATTGATCGGGAAAGAATCAGAAGAGAATTTCATTGTTTGAGCGAGGCTAACGCATGCCAGCTTGCCTTCTATTTTGCTAAGTGATTGGCTTGAGATCTTAATATGCAGTAAGTACTGATATCTACATTCGACAACACAATGTTTCTCAACTTCTGTAGTAACTATTTCGACTTGCTTATGTTTCGTGTGATTGGGAGAAGATAAAAATATTGGGTATGTAACTTGATGATGATTCAAAAGTTTCCAACTGTTATGTTCAGTGTTGATCAAGTTTTACTCATTTACCAGCAAGTGCCAGAAAATTTTGATTGAAAACTTGTCAACTAATTTTGTCTTGAGTTTACATATTATTGGCATGTGTTTAAGCTTCAATGTATATGGCAATATAAAATTAAATATTTTGAAATCAGTTGCCTAATAATCATTCTCTTTATTTTTATATAATCAACAATTCTATTATATGTTTTCTTAAAAATAATAGTTAACAGAACCTGACATGGAAAAAAATTCAAAAATTGAATATTCAAAACAAAATGAAATATATATTTTATTCAAAATTAACATAATTCTTATATCTTATTTATATTAATCAAATAAAGTTGGCATACCAACACGTCTAGCCTACGTCGCTCTATTGAAACTAAATAAATTTCATTACAAATATAAACACCCTAAGAAAAAAATATGTTTTTTTACATATGTAATAGATATTTTTTTTTTTTCAATCAAAATACAACATCCAAAATTAAACCATAGATAAACCATTTAAAATTAAATCATTAATAAATGACTAGTAAGATAGAAAATAATTTTGGAAAAAAGATCCCAAAAAATCTCAAATATTCTTTTCATAAAATCCGAAATAAAATAAAATAAAATAAAAAATATCATTCCTTATATAAGTCTTAAAAATATATTATTTAAACTAAATACAACACAACTAAAATTGATGCGAAAAGAGTTCACAGTTCACAGGTATGTTCTATCTCCGCCGCCGAGAAGAGTTCACAGTTCACAGGTATGTTTTATCTCCGCCGCTTTTTGATTATTCGTTTTCGTTTTTTGTTCAGACAATGATCTTCTGAATCTTGGTATGGTACCCTCCGAATGCTACTGCCTTTGTCGGAATTTCGGATACAGAGCAAAACATGGCCGCCTCAATCGATCTGCTCAGCAGCTTGTCGGATGACGTCATCTGCCACATTCTCTCTTTCCTCCCAACAAAGCTCTCAATGGCGACGAGTGTTCTCGGAAAAAGATGGAGGTTTCTATGGGCCCATGTACCCCGTTTGCATTTGAGAGGGTCTGATTTCAGGAAAAAAGAAACACAAGGCTCAGACGATTCCTCGGAAGAAGGAACACAAGACTCGGACGATTTATCGGATGAAGAAAGACAAGACTCGGACGATTTCTCGGAAGAAGGAACACAAGACTCGGCCGATTTCTCGGAAGAAGGAACACAAGCCTCGGACATTATCAACAGTGTTATCTTGCAGCACAAGGCAAAAAAAAATGGATACTTTAACACTCTCTTACGTCGAATGCGACGAGTATCAACTGGAGACATGGATTAAGACCGCCATCGAGCATGGAATCCGGAATCTTTATGTTGAACTTGCCTTAGATACATTCCCTCGATCCCTCTTCAACTGCAAAACCATGGTAGACTTGAAGCTTGATATATATATTGGTAGAGTGTTACTCTCTGCTATGGACAATGTCTCTCTGCCTAGCCTCAAGAAGCTTCATGTTTCTAATCTTGTGTGTGAGAATGATGATGCGCTTCCTCACTTTCTTTCTGGTTGTCCGTCGCTCGAGGAGTTGATTATGGAATTCAATTATGTGAACAAAGATATTTATGTGGCCTGCATAAACATATCATCACCCACAATAAAGATGCTTAAGATCATTCCTGTTTCTTATCCTACCAAATGTAGGATAATAATAAATTCCCCGGCCCTTAGGTATCTCGAAGTGTATGGCTATGACTTGGAGCGTGTAACAATTCCTATAACCATGATCTCCTTAGTTGAGGCGGATATCAGCTTACAATATTTACGCTTCTCAAATCTCAAAAAGAATTGCAATTCCACGGTGGTGAAGTTTCTTCATTCTCTGTCTTATGTAAAGTGCCTAAAGCTATCAGGTCGGGAATTTGAGGAGGTATGTTTTCATTCTTCAATCTCTTAAGCCTCCTGTCAGTTAGTTTTCAGCTTTGTTATATATCTGCACGATGTGGTTTTAATTTTTCCAGCTTGTTCGTAGAGGACTTGCTTGTTCAGATGTAAAGTTTGATAATTTAACCAAACTTGAACTCCGATTGGACTTTGAATGGAGTTTGCTTGTAAAGTTCCTTGAAGTTGCTGATAATCTTCAAGTCCTTATTGTAAGTTGAGTTTATCGTTGATGCAATTATTTTTTCCTTTAGCCGTTTCTCGGTCTTCTTACAAAAATAGCTCCTTTTCGTTTTTTTTTTTTTTTAAACTCATTTTGTTATGCTCCCTTTTAGTGTCAGGAGGTTTATTTTGAAGAGGGGTGTTCGTGTCCAGAGTCCGAACAAGTGCCTAAATGCCTATTATCATGTCTAAGAACAATAACAATTAAGTCCATGCGGTTCAATGAGCATGAATTTGACATGGTAAAATATCTTTTGAGGAATTCTCGAGTATTGGAGAGGATGGAAATATTTACCTCGCGTTCTGGGTACATTGATTTGAAGACGAAATTCGAAGCGCTTAAGAGAATTTCATTGTTTGAGCGAGGATCCAACGCATGTCAGCTTGCCTTCAATGAGAGTGATTTGTTGAGTAATTGTGTTCACCAGCTTGTGTTAGCCTGTTTGGCTTGAGATTTTATTATATAGTAAGTACTAATGTATGCATTCGGCGACCGAGTGTTCCTCAACTTCTGTTTCGACCTGCTTATTTTTTGTTGCAATTGCGAGACGATGAAAATATCGGGTATGTTACTTGATGTACTTGATGATGATTCATAAACAAGTGGTGTTATCTTCACTTTCGCTCAAGTTTTACTGTTTTAGTGGCATTTGTACCCACCCTTGTTGCAATAACAGCTCTCTGTTCATTTACCAGCAATTACCAAAAAAATTGATTGAAAAATTCTCCACTAATTTGTCTTGAGTTTAAGTTTCAATATATATATTATTGGCTTCTTTTGTTCAATGTATGTGACAAGATACAAGTTTCACTAATTTTTAGTTTTCATTTCACTAATTTTCAATATTGGTGGATCATACCATATACAAGAATACATGAATAAGTGTAAACAAAATGAGCATGGCTCGAGCTCCTAATACTCGAGCTTGAGCTCAAACCACTACTGAGCAAAGCTTAGCTTGATACCGTTAACTAAGCTATAAAAACTTAAATGAAATCCTTATTTTGAAGCCTTAACTAGTCAACCCAAGCTCGAATTGAACTAAACATGTTGTAAACGAACTCAATCCAAGCTGTGCTGAACACACGAACGACCCATTCTGTTTAACAACTTCAGTCACAATCTATATGAATTCCATTCTGTTTAACAACTTCAGTCACAATCTATAAGAATATCTATATGAATTCCATTCTGTTTAACAACTTCAGTCACAATCTATATGAATTCTGATTACGTGGAAAAGTCCCCCTTTCCTTTTATCTATTTCAGTTATTCTGATTATGATCCTTTTATTTGGAAAAAGGTGTGGTAGTAAACCTAAATTTAAACTTGGGCTTATTTCTAGTAGAAAAAGATTTAAGTTGGAAAAGGACTCAAGTTTCGAAATGTATAGCATAAAAAATCAATAAATAATTGTATATTTCATATTGAACGAAAAATAAGCCTAACTATTTTACATAAAATTCAACAAATATCTAAATCTTATTTATATTAATAAAATCAAGTCGATTGACTAACATGTCTAACCAACAAGTAGCTAGCCTAACGAGTTCAAACTAAACAGTTGAAACTGAATAAACGAGTTCAAAATAATCAATTGAAACTAAATAAATTTCATTCCGAATCTAAACTATCAATAGAAAAAAAAAATCTTATTTTACATGTTTACCACACTTTTTAATTTTAATTTTTTTATTTTTAATTAGAACATTAAAACTTAAACCATACACAAATTATTTAAAATTACAAATAAACCATTCTGATATAGTCAGACCAATTAAACCAGCACCAAGTAAATCAGGTTCACCCGTGAAGAAGGGAGTCATGTCAAGGTTCGACCTCGCCCCGGCCCGCTCGCACGGCCCGGCCTGCTTAAGGTAAATACTACTATAATATTGGTCTCATTTCTCTCTCTATATCTCAAAACTTCCTCCTCCTCGCCGTGAGTCGCCTCCGACACTGCCTTCGGGGCACCGCCTCCACGCCTCGCCTCCGATTCCACTTACAGATTCTAAAGGTAATTTTACTACATTTTTTTTGAAAAAATAAAAATGGTTCATGTGAACTAGGTTGGAAGCTTAATGGAATAGGTAAATACTAGGTTTCTCTTACATTGCTGAATTTTAGCTGTCTTACCGAATTGTTGTCTGAGCCTTGGATGAGAGGAAGGGCTCAATTCATATGGATTAGCTGTTCATTTAGTGTTGGAGGAGTCTTCTCTTTATATACAACAGAGGGAAATATTGCTTTGTGAAGATGAAGTTCTTTCAGTTTGAAGATGGTGATGTTTTATCGGAACTGTCCAGACCAATTTTTTAGAAATGTGTTTTGGCTTACCCTTAATTGTCTGCTCATATTTCCATTCCCGATATCCGGTTTTATTCCCGGGGTTTGGTAGTTTCTGTTTAGTTTGTGTTTGTGTTGTTTTGTCGGTTGCTTGTGGCGATAGGAATTTGCAAGAGTCTCTGTGTTGTGTTTTAGGCTTCAGGCTTCAGGTTTCTCTGTTGCCCTTTTCGAGTTCTTAGCTACATTAGTTTTATATAAATGCCAACCTTTTCATTTTTGTCTCATCGTCTTCTTCATGTTAGACTTAGAATTAACCTGCGCATCAGACAATAGTCTGAATCCTGGTATCCTCTGACTGCTACTCCCTTGGTTGTAGTTGTAAGATTCAGGTACCCTTTGTCAGAAATTACATGGAGAAAACCGGACAACCAAGTGGAAAGCGCCTAAAGCATTCGGATGGAGAGCAAAACATGGCTTCGATCGATAGGCTCAGCAGCTTGCCGGATGTCGTCATATGCCACATTCTCTCTTTTCTTGAGACAAAGCCCTCAGTGGCAACAAGTGTTCTCGGAAAAAGATGGAGGTTTCTATGGGCCCATGTACCCTGTTTGGACTTCAGCTGGGAAGATTTCAGGGAAGAAACACAAGCCTCGGACATCATCCACAGAGTTATATTGCGGCACAAGGCAAAAAAATTGGATACTTTAACACTCTATCAGGTCAAATTCAACGAGTATCAACTGGAGACATTGATTACAACCGCCATAGACCGTAGTATCCAGAATGTTTATCTTGAACTTAGCTTCGATAAATTCCCTCGATACCTCAAAAACTGCAAAACCCTTGTCGACTTGAAGATTGATAACGGATGCACTTCACTCTCTGCTGTGGACAATGTGTCTTTGCCTAGCCTCAAGAAGCTTTATGTTTTTAATCTTATATGCGAGAACGATGATGTGCTTCCCCACTTTCTTTCCGGCTGTCCGTCGCTAGAAGAGTTGAATTTGGCATTCGAGTTTGTGGAAGAAAATGTATATGTGGGCTGCATAAATATATCATCACCCACAATAAAGATTCTTGAGCTCAATATGGGAATGCATGCCCTTCAATGTAGGATGATAATAAATTCCCCGGCTCTTAGGTATCTCCAAGTGGATGGCTGTGACTTGCAGTGTATAACGATTCCTATAACCATGATCTCCTTAGTTGAGGCGGATATCCATTTCGATAATTATTTGTTCTCAAAAAAAAATCGCAAACGGAAGTACTCTTCCACGGTGGTGAAGTTTCTTCATTCTCTGTGTTATGTAAAGTGCCTAAAGATATCAGGTTGGAGATTTAAGGAGGTATGTTTTGATTCTTCAATCACTTGGGCCTCCCTTCTGTCAATCGTTTTTCGACTTTGTTGTTATACCTATGCTTAATGTGGTTTTAAATTTTTCAGTATATTCGTAGAGGACTTGCTCGTTCAAATGTAAAGTTTGATAACTTAACCAAACTTGAACTCCCATTTGAAGGAAGTTTGCTTGTAAAGTTCCTTGACGTTGCTGATAGTATTGAAG